GTCCAAGATTGATTTCTCTCCCCAGGCTCTGCAATCATCCACAAATTGGTTTTCTGTTAGTTTCCAGGTAGCCTCCCTGAAGTACTTGTATATGGCAGTCTACCCTCCCTGGTGACTTTTTCCATCTGTCCTCTGCAAGCAGAAATGAGAGCTGTCTTAAGGAAGTTAGGGCCATTGTTGATTTATATTGTACTGCAGAGAGGACAGCAGTTTCCCGGTGAAACATAGTAAGAAATACACAGTAGCCCAATGCATAACGTACCCTCCAAAACAAGTTTTACAGAAAGAATTTCACTTATCCCTACCATACGTGATGCATTCTGATTTTTTTCTAGTCCATTTTTTGAATTAAAAATTAAAAATTTCTAGTCTATTTAATGTTTTGAATTAAAAATTAATTCAAAATGGTTGCATCCTCAACAATTGATTTTAGAACCCATGAACAGATTTCAACCACAGTTGAAAAAACACTGCTCTTCAGAAGAAAATCAAGCTCTTGGCTGAGGACAGATCAGCAGGGTTCAGAAGGCAGTAAAGTCGGAACCCCACTTTTTATCCTGGTGAGAACTTAAAGTCCCATCTCAGTCACAGCCAATCAAGAGCTCCAGCGGCACAGGATAAGCGACTTCTTGCGGGATTTAAGGCACAATGGCAGATTCTGCAGGGAAAGCTGGGGGGCCAGGTGAGCCTGTGGATCCAGCACCACCTTGAATCCATAGAAAGAGTATGAAATTAATGTTCATTTATTTCATAAATAAATGTCCATGCTGGCAGGTTCAATTTGTCAGCATTCACTTACCGGGAGTCACAATCACTTAGGATGGGCGTGGGGAGTTCTTAAAAGTAGGAATCCACCCCAAGCCTGCTGAAAATCAAACTCTCACAGGAAGACATGCAGAAGTTTTACGTAAGTGTTTTTTAAAAGATGTAGACAATTCTGATGCCGCCCATCCACCAATGAACATTTGGGAACCAATTCACCAGCAGACTTAGTTTAATTAAACCAAAGCAGGGACCCAGAGACAATGTCACACACCTAACCCACGGCGTTCAACCTGATCTCTGAGAGCGTCTTTCTGCTTTGATGTTCAGAAGCATCTGGGGGCTCCTGGGGGCTCAGTGGTGATGATACACTATGTTTGGTTTTGCTCCAGTTCTTGTGTGTGTCTGTGGCCCCAGACTGGAGCACAGGATGCTTACTACTTGACTTGACTTTTGAGGCTCTCTAGAGGAGAAGAATCATGCCTTATGGGAAGGCTAAGGTCTTTTTCTAGGTCCCCTGCCCCCGGGACATCATCACAGGTCAAACACTGTTTCTGGGAAGACCAGTGCCCCTTGAAGGTGCTCCCTGCTTCGGAAGTGCCTAAACACAAGAAACATGCCCTCAGACGTGGGGGCTGCACTTTGTTATAAGACAGTTCTCATCCTATCCAGACACAAGAACGTTCTAACAGAATATCCCTGCAGTTCTTCCACAATTGTTCCCCAGAGCTTTGGAGGCAAAATGTCATCTGGGTGATGTCCTTTATCCTACAGCCATCATCAGGCTTCAGCTGCAAGCTGTGAACATATATTAATCGCTCTTAGCAGCAGGTCCCTTTCTTTGAGAAATCTTCAGGTCCTGAGGCTTCCATCTGCCAGCCATGGGCCACGACTTTCTCTCCAGGGGTCAGCAAACTTTATCTGTAAAGGGCCAGTAAATATTTTGGGCTTTGCAGGCCATATGGTCTCGAGACTGTTCAATTCTGCTGTTGTAGCTTGAAAGCAGCCATTGACAATATGTAAATGAATGAACATGGCTGTTACCCAGTAAAACTTGATTTAAAATACAGGTGAGGCCAGGTGTGGTGGCTCAGGCCTGTAATCCCAGCACTTGGGGAGGCCGAGGCAGGTAGATCACCTGAGGTCAGGAGTTCGAGACTAGCCTGGCCAACGTGGAGAAACACTATCTCTACTAAAAATACGAAAATTAAGCTGGGCACAGCTGTGGGCACCTGTAATCCCAGTACTTTAGAAGGCTGAGGTGGGTGGATCACCTGAGGTCAGGAGTGCGAGACCAGCCTGGCCAACGTGGTGAGACCCCATCTCTAATAAAAATACAAAATTAGCTGGGCGTGGTGGCACATGCCAGTAATCCTAGCTACTCAGGAGGCAAGGCTGGAGAATCACTTGAACCCAGGAGGCAGAGGTTGCAGTGAGCTGAGTTTGCACCATTGTCAGCCTGGACAACAAGAGTGAAACTCCATCTCAAGAAAAAACAAACAAAAAAATTAGCTGGGCTTGGTGGCACATGCCTGAAATCCTAGCTACTGGGGAGGCTGAAGTGGGAGGATCGCTTAAACCGGGGAGTTTGAGGTTGCAGTAACCTATGGTAGTGCCACTGCACTCCGGCCTGGGTAACAGAGCAAGACTCTGTCTAAAAAAATAAAAATAAAAAATAAAAAAATTAAAAATAAATTTTTAAAAATCCCCAGGTATAATCCAGATCTAGTGAATCAGAAACTCTGGGGGTGGGGCCAATAGTGTGGGTTTTAGAAGCCTTCCAGGTGATTCTTCTGCAAGCTCAAATTGGAGAACCCTGCTCTCAGTCTGGTGCCAAACCTGTCTGCCCCAGAGAGT